CCCCGCCCTGCGGGGCCCCCGGGACCATTTGACCCAGGCCGAGTGGCGGGCGGGGCGGGGCAGCGGGGCACCTGGGTCCCGGGCCGAGAAGTCGCCGCCGGCGTCTGCCGGAAGTCGGCCCCAAACTCCAGAATGTCCCTGTCCGGAGAAAGCATGTGCAATCTGAAGCCACGCCCCCCTGGGACAGCCCCGCGCGGTCCTCCCCGAAACTGACAGGCGTCGGCGCGCAGGCGCGCGGGTCAATCCCACCCAGCGGGGTCCGCGCACAGGGGCAAGCGCCGCACCCCTCGCCCGTCCTCAGCGGGGTCCCCGAGCGCCCACTGGGTCCCAGGCTGCGCCTGCGCGGGGACACTGCCCTTGGGGCAGCCTAAAAACCCAGCACTGGGCAACTACACAGCAGGATGACCGCCCACTTCAGTTCGTGTTGAGGGAGAATATTGTCCGGTTGTGGAAAAATTTAGGATATGTTACTTTTTTTAAAAGGCAGAATACAAAAGTTTGGTGTGATCCTGACTTCACTCGGGAAAAACAAAAGCGTAAGTGTGAGCCTGGGAAAATGATTGAAATAGAAGCCAAAATTATTTAACAGCGGTTGTCTTCGGGGGTAGAACTCTGGGCGACTTTTGGCCTTTTTTTTTTTTGAGTTTAGTTTTATTAACTCTAATATGCACGTCTCTGCAGAGAAGGAAGATTGAAAGGAAGGCCATGTGGGTACATGAGAACACAATGGTTGAGAGCGTAAAATGTGGACTTAAAGGGAGCTTCAGTAAAATTCTGTGCTCTGTGTGACTTTAGGGAAGTAAGTTAATCTTTTAAAGCTTAGTTTTTTCATGTGTAAAAGGAGGGTAAATAATAATGCCTAACTCCATGTGGTGGTTGGTTGGAATAAGTAGTATGCCGGGCACTTGGCACAAAGCAATTGCTCGGTAAGTGGTAGGTATTATTAATAATTTTTTAATTTACCAAATTTTAACAATGGTTATTTCTAGGTGATGGGGGTTATTGTCTTCTTTATATGTTTTTGTATTTTCCGTGTTGCCCACAATCAACATCAGAAATTGTTCTTAACTTTTTGAAAGAGTTAATGCTCCCACTTTGAGGAGCTCACAGAGCGGTGGTGGAGGAGAAAGGCAAGTAAGCAAGTGCCTAGAATAAACTACGGTGGGGTAGGCGTGAGGCAGGAGCCAAGTAAGGATGGAGAAGAGAGAGAGGGACCCCAGGGAGAGGCCCGAGGATGGGAGAGCCAGAGGGTTAGGAGTCTGCATGGAAGACAGGCTGGAGCTAGGCCTTGGGGCCCTCAGGGACCAGCAGCCTGCCTGCTGCTGGAAATGAGTGCAAGGGCATTGTCTAAGGGGGGAGAAGGAGGGAGGGAGGGGGAAGGGCCAGCAGGAGGAAGCAAGCCTGAGGCAGGATAGGGGACAGGCCCCTGGGGAGGCTGGAGCCCAGAGTGGGTCAGGGAGTGCTGAGGCCAGGCAAGCAGATCTCTGCGTCTGAGCCCCTGGCTGCCCCACTCTCTTCTGTCCCCAAAGGACCTGGCAGGAGGCCTGGCGTCTGGGCAGCTGGGCTTAGAGAAGGATGGAGAGGCTGTGCTGGAGTCTGGGCCCCAGCACTGCTGCAGCCCAGCTTTGTGACCTTGGGCAAATCAACTCTATGAGCCTCAGTTTCTGTAAACTGGGTCAGGTATTGATAACATTCTATAAAGCCCAGTACCGTGTTTAAATGGTGCTCAGCAGACATTTGCTAAACTCAGTTGATGGGAAGTGAAAGATTTAATGTTTTAAAATCTGAAGTTACCCGGTTGCAGTGCCATGTGGGAAGGAGGCCTGAGCGCTCCCGGGGGCTGAGAGCCAGAGCTCCTGCCATTGGCCTCAGTTTCTCACTGCTTCCCACAAACTCAGGACCTCTCCCTCAGTGCCAGGACACCTCGAGGCCGTTAGAGGGCGCTCATTCCATCTTCACTCCTGGAAGTGAGTCTGGTCCCGGGGCATAGAGCTGCTCCCAGGAAGCTCTTTCTCTGGCCGTTGGCGTCTGCTCTCCACGCTGACTTATGACCTCCAGGGACCATCCCCATGCTGGGGGCACAGAGGAACATGTAATCCAGCCTGAGCAACCCTCTCTTCTCTGTCCATCACTTCCCCTTAGACGCTATATCTCCATTAGCCCCATCTTGGAGAAGGGAGAAAGAAAGGGGAGGCAGTCTCCTCTCACACAGGGCAGGATCTGAGGGAAGGGGAATTTTCAGAAGTCACTGAAGTTGTTGAATCTGTCAGGGCCCAGGGCTCACAGAGCAGTGATGGAGGAGAAAGGCAAGTAAGCAAATATATGAATACACTGGCATAGACCCAGAGAAACAGTTACGCACAGAGATACACACAGACACACAGGGAAACAGTAATTCACACAGAGATACAGACAGAAACACATACACAGAGACCTGCTTTCCCACCAGAGAGGAAAGCAATCTGATCAAACAAATCCACTCTGCACCCAGTTCTCCAGTATTATCACAGTTTGTTATCCCCTAGGCTAGGGGAACCACAAACCTACAAAAATATAATAAAGGAAAACTACTCAGCCCTGGGATGCCTCGCCTGTCTTTTTTGTAAATAAGCATTTGAATGTGTTTTGTTCTAGGAGCTGCAGGCAAGCACAAAGGGAGCCCTTTCTCATGCAGGAAGGTCCCTCTACAGCTCCCCGCCCCCCCCCAAGTCCTGCCATCCTCCCACCAGCTGAGGTGGCTTTCCATCCTGGGCCCAAGTGGGGATCCCTTTTGTTTTAAAGATCCCTAAGGACCACCTTGACTTTCCCAAGTTAAACTGCAGGCTGAGATGAAATTAAGCTTCCTTTTCTTCAATGGGGTTGCTTCATTGATTAAGAGAGAACGTAGAAAGGGAGGATGGTCCAGAGCAAGCAGGAGGCAGGTGCAAGGATGGGGCATTCTCGCCTCTCCTCTCCGCAGTGGATAACCAAGCAACTCAACCCATACCAGCTTCCCAGGATGAAAAGTTTGCTCCTCTCCAAGCCTGACACCAAGTAAGAAAAAGTCCCGGAAACCAGCCTCTCCCTCCTCCCTGCTGGTGGGTCCCCAGTCAGGCATTGTTAGAGTGGCCTTCTGGGGCTCCTTGACACTCACAGGCCTCTGCCCTGTCCAGTTCCCACATGGAGGCCAGGAGGCACCTGTCCAGTGTGGCTGCAGCTCTCCCTGGGAGGGAACCCTCATCCTCCTCTGTCTATTCCGGGCTCCAGGCATGAAAGCCCCCTCTTCCTAGTCTGGAAACGGGTAAATGACGCGTAATTTATGAGCACATCAGCCCGAAGTGCATAAGTCATATGTGTACAAAGGGGCCGGGTAAATATTTAAAGATTAGAGCCAGCTGGGGAGAAACACAATAGGCTGGGACAATGGGGGTCTCCCTGAATTCACTCTCCCCAGGCTGGGCCAGCCCGGTTCAGTGTTGATGCACTCACCGGAGTCCCAGCCTTTGTCTCCTGGAGGGCCCTTGGCTGCCGGGCCATTCGGAGACCCAACACAGCTAAAGAGAGTTAAACAATTGCAGCCTCTCCAACCGCATCTGGAAACAATCGGCTGAGTCATTTCAGCGCTTCTGCTGTGTCCCGATAGTTAATTACATGGAGCGATCACTTCATTCCACTCTGAAATGCATCTGCGCAGGGGGAAGGTGCATTTCTCCCTCCAGTCACCGCACCCGCAGCAGCCTTCGTGAGCATTGCTTAAAATGCCTGGAGGCTGCAGGAAGGAAGGAGTTCCTACCCTGGACCTAGACCCTGCACAGGGCTGTCACCTGAGATGGCTAGTGGGATGTCTATTAGGGCTCTTGTCCTGGGCCTGCAAACCCCCTCCTCACCGAGTTTCTAGACCCCACTCATTCTGCGATGTTCTTTCTTTTGCCAAAGTCATGAAAACCAAATGGGGGAAGGAGGGACAAAGGCACAGGTCACTTTTCACCTTAAATTCCCCAGCATGAGGAAGCAGAGGGCCCTGAGTAGCCCTGGAAGCCCCCAGACCCCTCTGGAGTTACAGAAGGAAGTTTTTCCTTGAATGAGCAGAGGGCGGCCTGTGTCTCCTCACCGCTCTGCCTGGACTTGTGCTCCTTTCCAGGCCCCCCGGGGACTCCAGATGCTAAAGATGGAAAGGGAGTCAGTCGGTGGCCTACATCCCAGCTTGCATAAGCCTGGCTTCTAAGTTGGTCCATGCCCTTCCCAGCAGCTCGAGAGTGCTATGTCCTGCTTGCTCTCAGGACAGGGATCAGGATGGGGAAAAGGCCTCCCCCTCCTCTGCGAGCCCCTTGGGAGCCCGCCTGCCTGAGAGTTGCAGAGGATGCCCAGACGCAGGACTTGCAGAGTAGGGGAGGGGGTGGACCTGGAGGTCCCCAGCAGGGGTCTCCGAGAAGGAAAGATCTCGATAGAGGGTTTTTTACTGTCCTTTCCAATGACCTTGCCCAATGCAAAGATCCGACTTTCACTTAGTGGGGGAAGTGGCTGCCCCAAAGAAGGAGCCCGAATTGAGGGTACAGTGCAGATGGAGAGCTGGAAGCCGTCTCCAAGCACAGGAAAAAAGGAGGATGGAACTTGCCCAGGGATCCCTTTCAGCCTTGAGTCCTGCGTGATCCTCAGTGGGCTCAAGGCAAGGAGAGGGCCGAAGGTGTCTGTTAGTGGCGGGGGAGCCACCCTGAAGCCCGGAAAGTGGAGAGATCAGCCTAAGTGGGAGACATCAGTCAGAGTGTGTGGGGGGTGCGCAGCGGGTGGTGCCGGGTGGGGGTGGGGCAGCGATGGCGGAGGCCCATTAAGTGGGCAGGGCCGGAGCTTGACGACTGAGAATCCCGCCCGGGCCGCCCCCTCCGGCCTCGCCTCCTGCAGCCAAAGCAGAACATTGAGAATTAGCGCATTTTGCGATCAATTTTCCACTCCTTAAGAAACACTAAGCTACCCAAGTGAGCGGCCCCACCCAGCGCGGCCGGGGTCCCTAGGCACTGGCTCCAGAGAGTGGTGGCCCCAGGAGCTGCGGGTGCCAGGATGCGGGCGGGAGCGGCCCGCGGGCCCCTTTATGGCGGCCCTAACTCTGGAGAGGGGGCGGGCCCGGCACCCCCGCTGTGGGCAGCGAGAGCAGCACGGAGGGCCATTGGTTTGCTAATGCGCCGGAGTTGAAAGGCGCGGGCGGAGGTTTATGGGGAGGGATCATAATTAGAGGACAAATTGCCCCGCTGCCCGCGCGACTCGAGAGCGGGGGCGGGGGTGAGGGGGGACCGAGCGAGGCGCGCGCCCAGCCTCCGTGCAGATGTGCAGCAGCTGGAAGTCCGCGCCCGGTGGGGCGCCCGGAGTTTGGCCCCGAGGGGCGGGCGCGGGCGCGGCTTTGTGGGGCCGGCACAATGCCCTTAACACTCGGCTGCCCCCTTTGTGCCCGGCCGCGCCGCCCGCCAGCCCTGCGGCGCCTTTGTACCGCGCCGCCACCGCTCCGAGCCGGAGCGAGCGCACGGAGGCCGCTCGGGCCTGGCCAGCCCCGGCGCTTCAAAGCTGCCCGGCGCGTGCCTGCGCCGGCAGTCCGGCCTCTGCCCTGCCGCCCGCCCCAGGCCCGGCCCGGCCCGGCCCTGCCTGGCGGGTCCTTCGGCCGCGGCGGAAGAGCATCCCAGAGCCGCTATCACCGCAGCCTCGGCCTGAAAGGAGGGCGGGGCGCGATTCTCCACGCTGCTTGGCGCCTGGGAACGCCAATGCCCGGGCAAGGCTGGTCAACGCCCCGGGCTGGGGCGGGTTGGGGGAAAGATGCCCTAGCTCGAGGGAACTGGGGGGCCTACCGAGGACCCAGAAGTTTCCCCTCCCCCTCAAGCTGAGGCCCTGCGAAGGCCAGTTCTTTCCTCTGCCGCAGGGCTCAACTGCAGAACTTCTGCATCCATGCAACTTCCCCAACGCTCTCGCAAGCAGCCGAGGGGGGGGGGGCCGCGTTGTTCAGAACCCCATTTTACAAACCCTGAAACTGAGGCCATGAGAGCCCAGGAAAGGGAGATGTGTGGGTTTGAACCCCGGGACGTCCCCTGGACGTCAGCCTTCCTGTCCGCCACAGCTACTGGAGTCCAGCCTCCTGGGGCCCAAGCCTGGACTGCACTGGAGTCCTGCCCTAGGGCTTAGCCCGGCCTGGGGCAGGCGCCTCCTCCACTGAGCTCCCTGGGTCTCCTGCCACAGCCTGAATAATGAAAAGGGGCCGGGGCTCCGGACCTCCAAAAGCTTAGAATGGTGCTTGCCGCAGATGATCCGTGGTCTTCCCCACGCCCAGCTCCCATTTGTTAGGAGGCAGAGAAGGCCACTGGGAATAAACTCCCAGGCCATCCCTTTGAGGGAAAGAGTCCTCAGAGCCTGAGATGGGGGAGGTCGTTCTGACTCGCCCTGACCTGAGGCTGCCTGGGGCTTGCCTCCCAGCTAGAAGAGTATGGGTTGGGTCCTAACAAGGCCAGAGGGCACCTGAGCCCAGGCTGCACCCCAGGGCAGGAATGCTCCCAGTCCCAAGGCCCCAGTGAGGAGGAGGCTGGCTGTGGCCCCGCGGGCGGGCTGCACGCTTTAATGGGACACATGTTGATGCGTGGCCCCCGCGGGCCCGGCCTGCGCCCGGCTTTGAGTGGCCACAGGCAGAAAATCGCTGCATTGTCCCGACATTAGGGCGACTAATGCGGCGTTGCCAGCACGGCCAGAGTGTGAAGCCCGCAGAAAGGCTTCACTGGCGGGTGCTCCCTGTTGCCGCATCTTCATTAGGCCAGTGGAGGCCCTATGCTCTGTATAGTGATTAGTGGGGCTCGTAGCTGGCTGGGCCGATGGACCTCCCCCAGTGGGTGCCCTCGAAATGCTCAGAGACAAAGGGCAGTGAGGACTAGGCAAGTGGGCCTGGTAGTGAGGTCCAGAACCTAGGGAGACTGGGACAGGGCAGGGCATGGAGGGGGTGGACTTGGGAGGGGACCCCAGATTCAGGAAGTGGTGGGGTGAGAGGGATAAAGGAAAGACTGAGAAAGGGTAAAAGGGGTCCCTCGGGAGGGAGGAGGGGTCCTGGAGGTCAGGCCAAAGCCTGGGCTGTGGGAGGGGGACCGGCAGAGGGAGGCGTGGAACTTCTTGGTGCATAGTCCTCTCATCCCCTCCCCTTCAGGGTTCCTCAAGCCCAGGAGTGCCTCATTGACATGTAAACGAGGGACACTTATAAAGGCGGCGCCACCTCCCCCGGGCACAGATACGACAGCATGGGCACTGAGCTGGAGACCCAGGGCAGCTCTGGCGGTCCCTCCTCCGGCAGCTTCCGCAAGGTTGGGTTCCTGAGGGGCATGGAGTGGGGGCCCTGGCCGGGCTGGTGGGGGCAGAGGGTGAGAGGGCTGCGGCCTTGCCCTCTAACAGCCCATCTCCACAGATCTCCAAGCCACTGATGGAGAAGAAGCGACGGGCGCGCATCAATGTGTCGCTGGAGCAGCTCAAGTCATTGCTGGAGAAACATTACTCGCACCAGGTAAGACACTGGGACGTGGTGGTGGTGGTGGTGGGGTGATGCGATCCCCTACCTCATCCTCTCCAACCGGGCTGCCCAGCTAAGAGCCTTTTCCACGGATCCACAGATCCAGAAACGCAAGTTGGAGAAGGCAGACATACTGGAGCTGAGCGTCAAGTACATGAAAAGCCTTCAGAACGCAGTGCAAGGTGGAGGGGGTCCTGGACGGGGTGGGGCAAGGGGGGGTAACTTGTGGGGTCAGAGCCGTGGATACTACAAGGCCAGATAAAGGAGGAATGGATGGAGAAGAAAGTTCAGGGCAGTGAGGAGGGGGCCCCAAATCGCTGGAGGGGGAGAGGCAGCAAAGACCTGGCTGGCTGTGGAGTTGTAGTTCGGGTGGGGGAAGATCTGGACCCCGGGGCAGACATTCGGGGTGCCTCCTCTCGCCTCCCTTCTCGTCTCTTTCCCCTTTACACTTCTCCCCTCCCGTTCTCTCTCTTCTCTACATCTCTCATTTCCTTTTCCCTTCACCTTTTTTCCCCTCCTCTCCACATTTCTCCCGTTCAATCCCCTCCCCCAGGGCTCTGGCCGGTCCCCAGCGGAGCCGAGTACCCGTCGGGCTTCCGCGGCTGTCTGCCCGGCGTCAGCCAGCTTCTGCGGCGCGGAGACGAGGGCGGCGGCGGCCTGCGCTGCCCCCTGGTGCACGAGCGCGCGGGTGGCAGCACCATGGACAGCGCTGGCCCCGGCCCGGAGGCGCCAGCGCGTTGCGGCCCCTATGCTCCGGCCGTTTGGGCCCCTGCTCCGGCTGCCGGCAGCTCGCAGTCCCCGCCGCCCCGGCTCCTCTTCCCTGGAGGTCTCCCCGGCCCGTCCACCAGCGTCCCGGAGCCGCAGCCGGCCTCTCGCCGCTTTGCCGAGAGCCCGGGGCCGGGGCTGCGCGTGTGGCGGCCCTGGTGAGGCGGGCGCGGCCTCGGACTCAGGGGGGCCCCCATGTGCCCTGGGGACCCAGGGACTTTTTTGAGCGCGCCCGTGGTGACGGCCGGGACCCTAGTCGTCTGTCCTGGTCCCAGGGTGGGGGTAGCGGGGAGGGTGCTGCGTCCTCGCGAACTCGGGGAAATACACGGAGCCACTCGTGGACCAGGGTCTGCGCGTCTAGGCATAATCCACCCCCCATCCCAGCCCCACCTTCTCAGGCTGGACCCCAGTCTCCTCCCACCCTCTAGTGGGACTGGGAGGGGGTGTCCCAGGCTGCGCCCCTTTCCCAGGGCCCCCGGCCGGCAGCCCGCCCCCGCCCCTGCCCCGCGGCCGCGCTGCGGTGGGAAGGTCGCCGTCGGTAGCGGCGCAGAGCGGACCCCTCGCAGCGAGGAGAATCGCTGCCCCGCCCCGGCCCATTCAGTCGGCCGGGGACGCCCGGTTCCCACCGGCACAAAGCGCGCCAGGCACCGCCCCGCCCCGCCGGCGAGGGGCCCCCAGCCCAGCCCTACCCCAGACCCTCTCGGCTTCCACGATCCCCACCCCCTCCGCACACGGCGCGGCCCACCAGGCTCGCGCGCGCTCCGGGGCCCGCCCCTCTCAGAAGCCCCGCCCCATAAGATGCTCCGCCCGCCCTACGCCCCGCCCCTCGCGGGTCCTGGGAGGGACGCCGCGCACCATAACGCGGGCTTGAGGGGCGCTAGAACAAACCCGGGCTCTTCTCGTAGAGGGTTCGCCCCTCTCCACTCAGCAAAGACGCCCCCGGTCTGCAGTCCAGGCCACGGGCCCGCAGCACCCCCGCCTCCGGACCTCTTGGGCCGCCAGGGAGCCCGCGACCCTCGAAAACCTCGGAGCATTCTGCGCCTGTCCAAAATGAGGTCATGGCTGTGGTCGGACTCCAGCCAGGGGGTTCCGGCCCACGAGGGGCAGCCTGTGGGTGGGGGACGGGGATCCTGCGCCGAGCCCAGGACGATCCCGGCACTTCCTCCCAGAAGCTTGAAATTCAGAATAAAGACAGTACGAACCTGTGAAATGGGTATAGAGACCACGAAGGTTCTAATTTCTCCCACTATGCCTGCTACAAATATCAATTTTCTATAAAACACTTATCGTTGTGGGCTGCCCTTGCCTTACCTGTCTGTTAAACCCGTCTTGGTTAGACCGCGGGGAGAGGGCGGCCTGCCCCCTCTACCTCACCCAGGGGGCTTTCTGGAGCGCAGGCGTGGTCGGTGGTCCCGGCTGTGGCGGTTCCCAGGCGGTCTCTCCAGTCTCGGCTTCCAGCACTAATCCCTCTGCCGGCCACCAGGTGGCAATCTTGCACCGCGGACCCAGGGCGCGGCCTCCAAATTCCAACCCCGGCCGGCGGGCTGGTCACCAGGCACAACAGGTCCGGCGCCCTCAGGTCGGGTCCAACAGCCCTGCCCTTACTCGGCCTCCTGACTCAACCTCACAGGAGCTAGCGGCCCCTGAAGCCATCCTTGGGGCAGAGGCTGCCACCTGCACTCATAGGGCTGCTTCTGCTTTAGGGCTTTGGTGCCCACCCCACCGCTCCATCCTGTCGCTGCTCCAGGCCCGTCTCACTCGCTGGGTGGGGCCGCAGCACTTGCGCAATCGGGCAAGTCCGAGCCGGAGTAACGGCGCACTAGCGGAGGAATTCAGGACCCAGAGGGAGAGCCATTGGGGGCAGCTGGAAGGTGTTTCCATGAAGCCAGCCTAGGAATGCCAGGTGCAAATCATAGGAAGTTTTTATTGGATTCTGTACAGAAGAGAAATGCTCAGTTGTCAAAAAACTACAAACGGATCCCTGGCTCTGGGCTGGGTGGTGGTAGGAAAGCAGAGCTCCCTCCCGGTGAGCCCAGGGTCAAGCTGCTTATCAACGCAGCAAAAAGGCCTGGAGGATGCAGAGTGTGAGGAGGGAGCCCCAGGCCCCAGGGTCCTCTGCTTGGCGTCCTCCTCTTTATTTTTGTAAAAACCAGGACTGGAGGGACTTCAGCGTACCACGTCCCCTTGCAAGTATTGCCATTGGATATGAAATACACAGAGTGAAAACCCAAGGTGACAAATGGGCCAGCCTGAGGGGGGACAGTGGCTAACTGATGACCTCTGCCCCCAAATGACATGTTGCTCCTTGAAGGCACAGCAGCATTGGCCAGAGGTGGCCCCTTCCACGGCTAGGGCTGGATTGCAGTCCCCTGCCTTGCTCACCTGTGGTCAGCTCATCCCCCCAAGTTAGCCCACAGCCAGGGAGTGGAGAGGCCTCCAAAGCAGAGATGGAGCCAGGTGGTCCCCCATCCTCCCCCCTCCCAGAGGCCTCTTCTGGGGCAGGACCCTATCTGGAGAGTGAGAAGATGGGCTTGGCTGCTGAGAGGCAGAAGCAGTGTTGCAATTCCAGGTTGCAGAGCAGGAGGGAACACAGCAGGCAGGCTCCGTGCTGGCTCTAGAATTCACGCTAGGTCTTCAGGTTTAGAGGCCACTGCATGGAGGCAGGGGCCAGGAGGAGGAAGCCTCTGCATCTGCCCCTATTCCTCCAGCTCAAGATCGCAACTGTTCCTGGGCCTCTTCTTAGCCTGAATCTAGGGTCTTCCCCCACAGAAGACCCAGCATGCCCCTCCCCAGGGCCCAGGGCAAAGCTCAGGCCTGCAAGGGATCTGTCCAGGAGGGAGGGCAAAGAAGAACCCTACCCCCAGGGTGGAGGAGGACCCTTGCCAGGGACCAGGCCTTAAACCCAAAACCTGGGAGGCCTCTAAGCCAGGATCCCTTCCTGGCTAGACCTGCACGGATGGGGGATGAGGCCAGGGATGGGCACCAGAATAAGGAAGCCCACTCCCCCTTTGCCTCAGACCTTTCTACCATGTACCACAACCTTCACGGTGGGAGTCACAGAGGTGGCTGAAGTGGTGAGGGTAGACCATGATGGCGGAGTGACGAGGGTGGGGATGCTGATGGTGGTCAAGCTGGGGTGGTGCCAACAGTGATGGTGCAGAAGTGTTGTGCTTTAGCTGGGTGGGGAGTGAGTTCCCAAGGGGGCCAGGGGCACTGAGAGTGGGAGGCCTCAGGCCTGGTGCCAAACCAGGCCACATACTGAAGACTGACCCTTACAAAGGAACCACAGAGGGCACTAGACTCTCATGCCCTGTCCACTCGGTGGCCAGGGCACATGGACCAGGAGACTTCTCTAAACAGTCCTGAGAGTTAACATGGTCATCTGCTCATCACAGATAGGAAAACCGAGGCAGAACAGGTCAGCAATGAAACTTGCTCAGAGAGCTTGTTTGGGCTCTGAAGACCCCTGTGCTTAGAGACCCTCTGTACCCCACCCCCTGAGGTGAGACAGTTACAGTGAAGAGTGGAAAGCAGAGTGCAGTCCGGTGGCTCTCGCTCCTGCGGGGCCAGGCTTTGTTCTGTCTGGTGGTGGCTCTGTCCCTGGGCTCCCAGCCCCCACCACCCCCAGCCCAGCTGTCCTGGGGCAGGGGGAGGCGCAGCTGGGCGTGCAGAGCCCGCCTTTACCCAAGCCCAGCCTCACTCTGCTCGGAGATGCCGTGCCTAGAGGCTGGTCTGAGACCAGTGAAGTCCAGGGCTGTCATCGCCCCTCCAGACAACGTCCGCTTCCGGGGCCGGCATAGAGCCACCGCCCCGTCACCCTGGCAGGGCTGGCACACGTCCAGGTGCCGTTGGCAGGCTCAGCGCGGCCCCCACTCCCCGCCCCCCGAGCCTGGACAGGGTGGTATCTTTGGTGCTTTGGCCCCCGCGGGCGGGCGGCCTGCCTGAAAAGCGTGGGCAGGGGCCGGCGGGCCCTAGGACGCCGAGCCCAGCGAGTCTGAGTGCAGCGTGACGTACCCCGAAGACTCGGAAGGTGAGCTCAGGAAGCTGCTGGTGCTGCCGCCGGCCGCCGCACGCAGGCCCCCGGGCTCGCCCCACGACACGCTCAGGCCGGTCCGCAGGGGGCCCGCGTGCGCGTGCGCAGTCGGACGGGGC